TATATATATAATTTAGAAAATAACACTTACTCACCTTGAATCTAAACATTTCCTTTCCTGAATCGGCTGATTGATCTTATGTTTGATGGTTGATCACCAAAAATATGGTATAATTGGAATTACTGTAGCAACAGTCTCCAATGCTTATCGCCAATCGGATGTATCATCATTCTGATGTGGAAATGTGAACTGCCCTTTTTTTTTTTGTCTGCCTACGGTCCCTTATCCATTGTGAGGAATCCAGCTGGAGTTCCATGCTGAACAGTACGTCCTAGATGCTTCTAACCATTTTCACTTGTTCATTAGACCAAGACTTGAACAGATTCTGAAAGTATTCTCTCTTTCGAAGATCGTTAAACAATTTTGGTAAATATTAAGGGTGATTGATCTAAAATTAATATAGAATTTTTTTTTCTATTTTTCTTTATATTTTCTTCTCTCCACATATTTTCCTTTTGAAAAAAAAAAAAAAATCATTTGAGTGTTATTCCTCATATTCAAAATTTAGAAGCCACACAACGACTTACTGCCTTAGCAAATTCCTCTATATAAATGGGGTTGATGGTAGTAGTTCAAATTCAGTGAGCTTTTACTGAGACAAAATCGGATCGCCATGGCTGAAGAAGTGAAGCTTTTTGGAACATGTGGAAGCCCTTTTAGCAGCAGAATACAGGTTGCTCTCAAACTCAAAGGCATTTCCTATGAATACATAGAAGAGGATCTCGCCAGCAAGAGTCCTCTGCTCCTGAAATACAATCCCATTCACAAGAAAGTCCCCGTCCTCCTGCACAACGGAAAGCCGATTGTCGAATCCCTCGTTATTCTCGAGTACATCGACGAAACATGGAAGGCCAATCCCATCTTACCGGAGGACCCTTACGACAGAGCCACCGCTCGTTTCTGGGCTAAATATATAGATGAAAAGGTAAACATGTATCTTACTCAACCATAATTTCTACTTTAATTCCCATTTTACCAAATCAATTTCAAATTTTGATGAACATGATCTGAGTCTAAATCACGTTCTCTCCCTGTGAATTTAGTGCGTGGCTGCGGCCGTGAAAGCATTTTGGGCTGAAGAGAAGGAGCGAGAGAAAGCAGTGGAAGAAGCTTGTGAGTGTCTGAAAACACTTGAAGGTGCCCTCAAGGACAAGAAATTCGCTGGAGGAGAGACTTTGGGGTTGGTTGATATTGCTGCCAGCTTCATCGCCTTCTGGCTTAGGTCATTTCAAGAAATCTCTGGGGTTGAGATGCTGACAGAGGAGAAATTCCCTAATTTATTCAAATGGAGTGAGGAGTACGTTGAGGACCCCATCATTAAGGAATACCTTCCTTCCAGAGATGAGCTCATTGTCTTTGTCAACAAACGCCTTCAAAATTTAAAGTAATGCAATTTGGAGTAAACTGATAATAGATGATGGTGCTATGTATAGTGATTTTTGCTGCAAAATAAGTCTTTGTGTGCTCTTGTAATCTCATTTTTTTCAATCACGTGAATTGCTGTTTTAATTTGGATAATGGTCAGTTTTGTTTGGAGTGTTGAGAGTTTGTGACTGTAAAATGAGTGTATTTCTTGAACTCTTAATAAAAATAAGTTTTTATTGGCTGATCTAAAAAATAACTCTCTATTTGACTCAATATTTGGTATGATTGTTTTTGGTTGGAATGATGACTTGAACTTTTACCAAGAGTCGAACCTTGACACGTTAGAAATCAGAGATAGGTGCTATGCTTGTCCAAGGATGAAAGCTAATTATGGTTTTTGATATGATTGTCGTCAATGAGAGGCGTGTGGGGATACAAACAAATCTAGGCCAGGCATTGGGCTACATGTTCTTAGAACTAGACCGGGAGACAGACAATCCAGGAACACAAAAAAATGACCTCACTGGTTGGGCTATAAGCTTGGGCCTAGCTTTTTCCTCCTCAAAATATACCCAAATGGACTAGGGCATGACCCCCTCGGAAAGCACTTCAACTGTTTATTTTTGAGATTATCAGCCTTTTAATCATGGTTGTCAAAATCAAGTTTTAAATCATAAGATTGTAAGATTTTACGATTCTAGGTATGGATTTCGAGTAAAATCTATGTTAAAATCGAAATCTCATGAAATCGGAAGGAAAAATCGTAAAATCGCAATTTTATGGTAAAATCGTTTGAAATCTCGATTTCACATGGAGTGGAGGAATCACCAGTTGGTCGGTTGCTTTGAGACGGAGGAGAAGACTAGCGACTGTTGTTAGGCGAAGGAGAGCAGATCGATGATTAAGAACGAGTGATGAGAATGGTGCTCGATGAGGGAAGGGGGAAAAACTCGTGAAGGTTGTAGATGTCCATGATCGTCGGTATCGATCTGCAAGTCGACCTGAAGAAGTCGAAGACCCGACCCCTGGCCTCCTCCAGGTTCACCAAGTTCGGTGGCACCTTCACGCCCCTCAACGTAAACGCCATGTTTCCAATCGAAACCCAACACTCAAACCTCTGTGGATTGGATTTTAGGATCAAATCAAAACAGCTACAGGCTGAAAATTGATGATCGGAGAAAATGGAGAAAGAGGGTTCTGGATGGGAGAAGAATAGGGTGATGACCGGTGATGGAGATGGAGGCTGTTGATCGAAGAAAAAAATGGGGAAAGGGGATTCTGGATGGAAGAAGAATCTGGCTTTCCTTTCTTTTTTTTTTTTTTTGGCCGTCTACCACCTCCTTTTGTTCTATGTGGCTCTACCCTTTACGCCCTGTTTGGATAGAAAATAGTAAAGGGAAGGGAAGGGAGGGGAATGGAGGAAAATAAAAGGAAATGGAGGGGAGGAAAAGAAAGGGAAGGGAAGAAAATAGAAGGAAATGATTTGTGTTAATTTTGTTTGGATAAATAAAAATGAGGAAGGGGAAGGGAAGGGAAAAATTGTATTATTTTATGTTTGGATAATTAAGATAAAATGAAGGGAAGGAAGGGAAGGATTTCAATTAATTTTAAATTTACAAATTTATCCTTTAAGCTTGTAATGGAGAAGGATATAATAAAAAAATTAAGGTTAATTTTGTAATTACATTTAGTTTAATGTAAACAGCCACTCAAATCCCTCCCAAACCCCCCAAATCGGACGGATTGCAAATTTGCAAATTTGAGGGGGGTTGAAGGGAGTCCGAATCAGTCCATCTCCCTCCCCCTCTGCCTCTTTGGAAACCCAAACAGGAGGAAGAAGACAGCTCCCCCTCACTCCCCCTCCCTTGCCATCCGTCCCCATTCCTTCCCCTCCCTCTCCATCCGACACCTCCAATCCAAACAATACCTTAAAGAGAAAGAAAAACTAGGGTTTTTTAGGTTAGGGTTTTAATGGGCTAATTTGTGAAAGTGGCTAGTGGGCTCAATATTTGGGTTTGGTTGGATTTGATAGTTTTTTTTTTTATGGATTTCACCCCTTAATTTTTACTTTCTTCACATACATCCCTTTCTTGAGTTCTTTTTTCAAATTTCTTCATAAAATTTTCTCTTTTTGCAGGTAGCACCTGAAACAAAATAAAATATATGCTAGTTATATTAAATTTTAGTTATGTTAATATAAAAATATAAATTTTTGTTATATATTTATTAAATTTAGTAAACTCTCGATTTTACCGATTCGATTTTACGATTCCGATTTTACCTAACGAAAATGATTTTAGGTAAAATCTCGATTTTGACAACCTTGCTTTTAATATATATTTTATATACTTTTTTTATATGTATATTTTATATACTTTAATTTATAAACTTTATATTATTGTTTTAATTGATCTAAAATAAATAAAATTTCATTATATGAGTCACATAATTGTCACTATATTATTTTATAGTCTACCACCATGTTAGCATAAATATGATTCACTTTGACTAATAGATGTTGAAATACTTTACCCAAAGTACACTTGGATCTCTCACCCTAAATAAGATTTTTCTCATCTTTATGAGTCTAAGTAAATTATATTTATACCAACATGGTATTGATGAGAATAAAGGAAACAGAGTAAAGATAGCTATATAACTCAATTACATGATATGATTCTCTCTATATAAGACCAATTACAACAATAAGATAAAGTTTATGAATAAAATGTATGTTAAGAAGCTAATGACTTCAGAGACAAAGAGTTGGAGGGTTCTAATAGGGTGTGGTTATTCCCACCCAAGAAAATGTTATGGCCACCCAAATATCTCTTCTTCTTCTTTTTTTTAATCCTTACATAATTAGTTACAATATTTGAACATTTCAACCTATTGATTGATTTCAATCTATTAATTAATAAATATCAATTATTCTTTCAATTATCAATATATAATCATTATTATTATTATTAATTTTTAACAATTAAATTAAATAAAATTAATATTTTAAAAACAAATATTAAAAAAATAACTTGCTTCAAAACTTTTGTTGGTGCCTATAACAAAACCTGCTCTAGAGATTTAGCCAATATATTTCAAATTTGATTATGTCATTACAGCCATTATGTCTTGTAAATCAATTATTAAATATATTTAATATCTTAATAATTATCAAAGCTCAATTTATAACACTATCATGTTAAAATTCCCCATCTCTCTTCCCCAAATTGTACTTGTTAACAATAAATTACGTCATTACCCACCAAAAAAGGAAAAAATTGACCGGCCGGCGAAGACTTTTTTCATTTTAATTTATTTTGTTTGAAATTGAATGAGGAGACTCTGGTGCTACGAACTTAACTAGCCAAAGCCTTGCATCCATCCACTACAAAAATCGCAACGAAGTAGCCTCCTCTTCATTGAAAATCAAAATCAAATCGCCATGACCGAAGAAATGAAGCTTTTCGGGTTTTGGACAAGCCCTTTTAGCCGCAGAGTTGAGGTTGGTTTGAGGCTCAAAGGAATTCCATACGAATACATAGAGGAAGATCTCACCAACAAGGGTCCTCTGCTTCTGAAATATAATCCAGTTTACAAGAAAATACCGGTTCTCGTACACAACGGCAAACCTGTTGCAGAGTCCCTCGTTATTCTCGAATACATTGATGAAACCTGGAAAGGATATCCTATTTTGCCTGAGGATCCTCACGAGAGAGCCATGGCTCGTTTCTGGGCTAAATTTTTGGACGAAAAGGTTCTTTATTAAGATTTAAGCACCATTCACTTTTTTTAATGTTAATGGTTTACTGATTCTAAATCTTGATTTTTGTTTCGAGGATTCAGTGTCTTCCTACGGCGAGGAAAGCATTATAGGCTGAAGAGAAGGAGTGAGGGGAAGCCACGGAAGAAGCTTGGGAGTGTTTAAAGGCACTTGAGGGTGCGTTGAAGGACAAGAAATTCTTTGGAGGAGAGAAAATTGGGTTGGTAGATATTGTTGGCAACAATATCGTCTTCTGGGTGAGGGCATTTCAAGAGGTTGTCAGAATTGAGCTGTTGACGGCCGAGGAGTTCCATGTTTTATTCAAATGGAGTGAGGAGTTTGTTGGGTGTCCCATTATCAAGGGAAGTCTGCCTTCTAGAGAGAAAATAATGACCTTTTGCAAGTCTCGCCTTGAAAGGGCCAAATAATTGATTCCTCTATATCATGATTGTGTCAAGGTAGGTGGCTTTTGTTTCTGTAATCCCAAATTTAGGAAAATGTTTCAAGATGTAGTTGCTCTGGTTATTAAAGTAATGCACCCCCGCTCCCCCCCAAAAAAATCAGTGTTATTCCAATGTTGATTGTAATACTTTAATAAACTACTTGGTTAAGGACTTTAGAATCTTCCAATAATGACCTAGTGTGTCTATGAATGGTTGCATATCAAATTACAAGATTCGATTCATCAACCAAAAAGATACAATTATAACTATTTGTCATAAATTCCATTATAAAATACTAAGATTTATAGATTTTTTCTTTTAATTTAGCAGTTAGGTGTTCTCATATCAATTTGTGAAAAATAATGACACAGAGGACGACTCTTGAGAGACGAAATTGGACGGCGACTTACCTGGCTTGCCATGTATACAGACACCCAACCCACTTACCACATAGACATACACACGTATAAACTAAGGAAATCACAGCCACAATAAATCAAATAGTAAACAAAAAATTGGCCAACTAAAAAGAGGGAAATCGAAAGCAAAGCAAATTAAAATGAAGTCAAAGAGAAAATCAAAGAGGAAACCATCGAAACCATAGAACCAAACAAAGATGATCACTGAAATTTGTCCTGGTAGAAGAAAATTGAAGTCTCATCTTCGTCTTCCTCCTTTTCGATTTGGTTGGTTCTCCTTTTCCACATCTTTGATTCAAATGGTTAGGGTTGGGGCTCAGGATGACGACGAAAGAGAAATCGATATTGATAAATCAAATAAGTTTGGTTTCGATGGAACTTACCAAATCGATGTTGAAAAAAACAACTTTGGCAGAGAGCAGAGATGCAAGGCGACACAGGAAGGAAGTGAAGTTTGCAACTGGGTTTCAATGAGATTTAGAATTTGGGATTAAGGAAAACTCTTTTTACAAATCGTCCCTTCCAAAAAAAAATTTACACGTGTGTATGTCTATGTGGCAAGTGGGTTGGGTGTCTACATACGTGGCAAGCCAGGTAAGTCGCTGTCCAAGTTTGTCTCCCAAGAGTCGTCCTCCGTATCATTATTCATTTGTGAATATTTTGAAATTAATTTATTTTCAATTCAATTAAGGGTTCAATATCCAAATTGAGATTAGGGAATTCATGAGAAATTATCTTTTTATTAGTTTCTTCAAAAAATAGAATCTTGATCAATAAGACAAAAAGCAAACTCTATTGCTAACTAAACTACAACTTCTTGAATATTGTATGGTTTTTTTTTTTACATTCCTTTCATTTTTGAGGTGGTCTATTGTATTACTTCATTATAGTACTAATAAAGATATTAAGATAAAGATAAAATTTTTGGTGATAGGAGGATAATTAAACTTAAGTGATATATAGCTAGTTCAAATAAATTTTTTTAAAAAAATTCTAGCTAGCAAATCAGACCAAAGGTAATTGATTCAACCCAGATGTAAAAACCTTGCCCAAAAATGAAACGCAAAAGGGCCCCACTAGTTCGGGCTCTGGATTTAGGCCTGGAATACATTTCTGTTATGGGTTTTTGCCATGATTCGGCTCCCATGATTGCAAAGTTGCAAACAAAATTAAGGCCAACCCTGAATCGGCTTCTTTTATTATTGTTTAATTATTAAGAGGATATTCTTACTTCAATTTTTATGTATTTTAAAATTAAAATTTTTAAAGTAAATTGCAAACACAATTTTCACATTAGTTAAATTCATTTAAATAAAATAATTTTATTAAATATTAATTTTAAAATTTAAATTATAAATTTAATTTAAAAAATAATACTTAATTACAGCTGAATCTAAACTTTTCCTCTGATTGAATCGGCTAATTGATCTTAGTTTTTTTTTTTTTTTTGAACAAATTATAATAAAATCTATCCTACAAAGGAGAATGGGGAAGGGGGATCCTAGGGACTCGAATATGTTCCCAGTAAAACCAAGCAGAAATCTACTCAGTCCATGTGTGCTGAACAATTGATCTTAGGTTTGATGGTTAATCACCAAAAATATGATATAATTGAAATTACTGTAGCCACAGTTTCCTATGCCTATTACAGTTGATGGTAATATAGAGATAATTTTTATATATTATTAATGAATTAAATGATATATACAATTATATAAAAAATAATTAAAAATTTTCATAAAATCATTTTCCTATCGCGTATCTCCTGTTGTGGAAATGTGTGAATATGAAGGGTGATTGATCTAAAATTAATATAGAAATTTTTTCTATCTTTCTTTATATTTTAATTTCTTCTATTCACATATTCCTTTGAAAAAAAAAATCATTTGAGTATTATTCCTTATATTCAAAATTTAGAAGCTAAAAACGACTTTTGCCTAAGCAAATTCCTCTATATAAATTGGGTTGATGGTAGCAGTTTCTAATTCAGTGAGCTTTTCCTGAGACAAAATCGGATCGCCATGGCTGAAGAAGTGAACCAATTGTGGAAAAAACAAGTTTGTGTCAGACTTTCGGTTCATTATGTAATTTTTTGAATGGTAAAATAACAATGCTGGTTCCTCAATTTCTATTTGCATTTATTTAAGTTACTTAGGTTTCTTAATAGATGTGGATGCTCAATCTCAATCAACTCCTTTATCCTTACTTTTGATTGGGATTTCAAATCCCATACCCTTTTTTTTTTTCTTTTAATGTATCTCCTTTTAAATTTGTTAATTCAAACAAAATGATAAGATATTAAATAATAGAAGAACATAATAATATAAATCCACAAATTTAAAAAGATTCAACTAAATCCATCTCTATATCATATAATTATTTACGGAGATTTTTTTAAATATTTGAAAAAAAATATTTTAAACACTTGACAAAAACAGAGGGATTAGAGACCAAATATTCTTAGATATATATCTAATTGTTTTTATATGCTAAATTTTCTCTTTATATATGAACTTTACTTCATTTAGATGGTCAAATCCTCGCTTTATGAACATTTTTAACTACTATATTAGTAGTGTCTTTGACTTTAAAGTATTTTGCAAACTTTTAAAATTTTGAGAGACAAAATTACATTAAATAAAATCATTAAGGGGCCAGATAAAAGAATTTCCCTTTAATCTTCTCCAATAACAATCAGATATGTTTCACAACATAAAACCAGATTTGGGTTGAATTGGCAAATGCCCAGTTTATATCACCAAACCAGTGAACTATTCTTTAGTCTCCACAAATCTTTTCAATTGATCTCCACATTTACCATCACAACCACAATCAATGGATTCAATAAAAATCAAGATTTGACACTTAAATAAAACCCGAGTAAGGAAAATTTGTTCCGCTTTTACACATTAACTATTTTTTGTTTTGCTAATGCGGTGCATGGGTTTTTTTTTTTAAAAAAAAAAAATTATATTAGAGTTTAAAATTTTTATTATCTTTTTATCATCTCTTGAGTTTTATAATGATTTTTAATTAAAAATTTGTAATTAAGTAATTAGAGTTGAGTTAAAAATTGTATTTGGTAATTAATATGAGTACTTTTTAAAAAAATTGTATATAATTCCATTAAAAAAAGAATATTAAGAGAATTTAAAAAAACATTCAATATTAATTCTTATCTCATATATCTATTCTTTTTCTCTACTATTATTCTATTTAAACATTTAAATAATATATTCTATTTTCTCAATTAAAAAACTATAATATAGTTAAACAAGATTAAATACCTATGTTTTGTATGTGCATTGTACAGGATCATATTTATACATTAATTTTTATTATTGTTAATGTTGTTGTTATTATTATTATTATAATTATTATTAAATAGCAATTTCAAAAATATGTGTTAAGAAAAATAAAAATAAAGCATATATATGTAAGTTAAAATAAATAAATA